TTCAGATAGATAGAAATTCTCAGTATATGGTTGTGGAGATTGTTTTGTTTTTATTGAGATCATGACTCGAATAATATCAGACCACCATCGACAGCTTGGAAGCACCGGACGGTCGTTTCGTCATAGTATGGGACCGCTAACCAATGCGCATGCACGATCCGGCACACGGAATTCGAACACAAGACCTTTAATTTCGCGCTCAAACGCTTAATCTCTAGACTATTTAGTCAGCATCCAAAAGTGTTATTGTCTAACTTCAACCAATCCGCGACGTTGTCTGATCAACTTCAGTTGTCTTGGTTGAATAACCTAACACCCATTGCACTTCGCTGGTCACAGCTTCTCACTAGAACTCTAGGAATTACCTCTAGACTCTAGTCAGTAGTGAGTCTATGATAATTATCACTAAAGGTTTTGAATGGTGATCTAATATTGATTGATTCATATTCTCAATTAAAATAGAAAGTCATAAAATTTCATACAATGCTCCATGAATTATGTCAATCGACATTTTTACAAAACCATATAGGCTTCTATTAAAGAATTTTACTTAAAACATCCATCATTTATTTATAACAATTAAGTTGGTCTCAAAAATTTCTCTTAAATATTTCAAATAGAGCTGATTAATGCCCCCCCCTCGAAAAAAACCCTAATGAACTCTTTACCTTTATAGAGAAATAAAATAGAAGGAAAACAGAGCAGTTATTTAAAAAAAGTTAAAGTACTATCAATAGTATATGTATACATTCTATGTTATAATTAAATACGATTATTATTAACTAGGATTAAGGTCAGTATTTTTAAAAAAAAAAGAAAATCTTCAAAGGTCATTTATACTTGGAATTCTGAGATGGTAACAATAATGTAAGATGATGGATGAATTATTATTTTATCAAAAATAGAATATAAAAAGAAAAAAAGTTTATTTTTGATAACTATAAGGTATTTCTATGTAGTTAGGTTAATTGAGGACATTAAATTTGAATGAAGTAGGAAAACAAAATAATTAATAAACAATAATAATGAAATCAATTAAAAGTAAATTCAAGTGATCATTGAATTTTTTTTGGTATATTACTTTTATTCAAATGAAGTTTCAAGTAACTTTTACATGCTTGATATTGTGTTTCATATTCGTGGATTGGTTGAAGTTAGACATTAACACCGTTGGATGCAGGCTCAGTAGTCTAGAGGTTAAGTGCTCGCCCGCGAGACTGATAGGTCCTGGGTTTGAATCTCGCGAGTGCGGGATCGTGGATGCGCACTGCTGAGGAGTCCCATAATAGGACGAAACGGCCGTCCAGTGATTCCAGGTTTTCTATGATGGTCTAGCTTCAATTGACTCATGATCTCAACTATATAAAATATTTCATATTTAAAAGACTAATATTTGAACGAAGAATATTCTTTTCGATAAATTCTCTTCAGGTTCTACAATTATATATCCAAATTAATAATCCGAAAAATTGGTCTCTTATCTTTATTCACAAATCTTTGTATTTTATTATTATTATTATTATCATTATTATTGGTTAAATATCATTATTAATCCCCCCTAAACATGATTCATTCACATCGCATTGATCCCTCCTTATTACGTCTCACTAATTTTTCACACATTTAGTCTTCCACTTGATCGAATTGTAATTGCACTATCATATCTCTCTCTCACCCTATCTGACCCATATTTATATTCTGATCACAGATCTTAAATTTTCATTTTACGTATATACAGATTCAAGTTAACATTCTATATGAGTCATATCAACATTAACTATTTGGTTTGACAATCCTAAATTTACATGCTTTAAACTATGTACTTTGCCTGTAACCTGGCCAATTTTTCGGATTATTAATTTGGATATATAATTGTAGAACCTGAAGAGAATTTATCGAAAAGAATATTCTTCGTTCAAATATTTCATATTTATCAAAAAAAGATGGATGACTTAGACCAAGTATATTACACTCATTTAAATTTACATAAAATATAAATCAAATTTTAAGCCTGAAGACATCGTATAATTTTAAACTCGAAGTTTTGGGTAGAGATCTAGTATATGTGTTACGCATATAGAGCTTATATGTATCTGAGCATAATAATTTTGACGTGTGTATGTGCGGTTTCACTGAAATGATTATTTTACTGTTTAGCTGTTTAGAAATTTTACTAGAATCCGAATTGATTATATCATTTTGTAAACAACCGATCATTCAAGAATATTTTAATTTAGAAGTCATTAGAAAAATATAGTTTGCCAGAATTGAAATAAGATTAACTGGGTCATAGAATGTGAGAGGTTTAGTTGCTTTAAAAAAGAAAAGAAAGACTTAAAATTGTTTTTGTCTAAAGAAAATGTAAAGTAAATAACTTGGTAGTATATTTTTGTAGTTTGATTTATGGACTAAGCTTAGGTAATCGTTGGAAACCAATATGCACTAAACAGGTGTGAAATCTGAAGGGTCTGGCTTAAATCTTTGCACACCGTCGAGGAGTCGTAAGCAAGGACAGGACGGCTGTTTGGTAGTTCCTTATCTTTAGTGGTTATCCATCTGAGGTCAGATTGTGATGTTAAACACAATATTTAACAGCTACCAGAAATCCTCCATACCAACAAAAGTCTATAGAGAGTAAATTCAACTGCCTGTTTACTCTTACTTCAATCAATAATTTTATGATCGGATTTCGTTACTTCCAACAACATAAATGATATGATCAAATTCATACGAATATTCGATTAATTTGTAGAGGATTAATTCCTCTATATCTGACTCCAATAAATGAATAAAATCCCGCTAACTGAATATTTAATGCAGGTCAAATCTAGTAGAAATACGGATTTACTCGAGATTATTCAAAAGCCTGAACACCCATTATAGAGATAGTTTATTGTTGAAGTTTGGTAATAATCCACGAGCGTACAGATAGCAAGCACACAGGGAAAACAAGTGTGTGTGTCGGTGTTAAAAATCCATATACATTTATGAGTGTTAATGGTTGTGGATAAATTATTAATTGTCTTTGCTTACAACCAATGAGAGAATATATCAAAGATTGTTGTGCAGACACATGTGCTCAATCAGACTGACACATAAATTTAGAAGAAGGATTAAATGTCTAAATTACAGAGAGCACACAAATAATACAATAATTAAATGGGCTTGCTACAAATTCAATTGCACTACTTATTTCTGATAAAATTTGGTTTATTCTTAACGGTAGGATTTTACTTTAAGTCAAATACCACAGCTAAATGGTGAATCGGTACTTTAACAAATTTGTAGGCTATTCAATGAGTTTCAGTGTTTATATTAATGCAGGGCATATTATTAAATGATACGTCGGAGATAGTCGATTGAAAAATCGGTTCGCGTTAATCGAAAATAGTATTTGATTGTAAAAATGGTCGATTTGCTAATTCCTAGAATTAAGACTAATTAATAAGTAATAAAAATGTAAACTAAATCACCATGGACTCAAAACAAGACCTTATAATAATTTATTTGGATAAACGCATTCAGAGAGAATATATAATTAAATCTTGCAGACCGATCAAACGTTCAAAACAACTAATAATAAATATATTTATTATTATATCCTAATGCGTGAAAAAATTGTAATTCTGACGTTTCGTGACTTAATGTAGGCCACTTCGTCGGAGTAAATAAAGAAGTGACTTACATTAAGTCATGAAACATCAGAAATATATTTTTTCTACTCATTAGGATAAAGTAATAAATATATTTATAATCAACTCTCTATTCAATGCTCAATTTATTTGAAATCAACAAGTCTGACCTTGGCATGGATACCTCTATAAATTTCAAACAAACAATAAGAATAAACATGGCTTTTAAAGTCGTTTTTAATCACTAATGTACTTCCAAAAACATGGGAATTTTTATATTCATTACTGAATGTTATTTTATCTTCTTGCATTTCTTATGAAGAAAAGAACCCAGTTAAAAACAAGTGAGGACGTATTATAATCTTTTAGTTGTCTTAATTTACATTAGCAAGACTAAAGGAAATCATAACAACAACTACTACAGGAAATTATGAAAGCATTAAAGATCAGTGTAATTCCTCTTTAAGTGTTTTATATTAAGTAATTAAGAACTGTATTGATGGCAAATTTTAACATAGTATTATTACTAAAGTGTTTATTTAACGAATAAAACTTAAGAGTTTATGACAACTACTTTTATAAAGTAAACTGTACTTTCGTTATTTTAATTGCCTTACTTTCAGGTGAATTACTTACTTGAAATCAAAGAAAAGAAACAGTAAAATTTTCTGTTCTATTCTTTGGACAACGAAATGTGAATATTTCATAATATTAACACATTTTAAATAAATTAATGGTTTCTATGTAGTGCAAAAAATAGTAATAAACCAACTACTGTTCTACTGGTTTTAGGATGTGTTTGATATATTATTTGTAAATTTGTTAGCTACGCTTACATGTATTTGGATATTGGTTATATGAAGTTTAGAACTCAACTGTTATCACCTAAAACGTCATAGAAAAATCCACTAAACAACTTAGTATCAATATATATATATACATCATGCATAATGACTGTTTGTGTAATTTCTTTTTAAATGTAATAATAGTGTTTATATAAGAAGCAGATGTTATGAGTAAGTAATCAAACAGGCAAACATTAGGATACTTGATTCAATCACTGTGAGGTTAGTTTATTAGTGGAAAAGCTATCCTACTGTATTGTAGATTAATTTGAATTAGATATATGAGATGTGTATAATACGTTTAGAAAACAATTAGTTCATACACCAAAGATGTTTAGTTTGACTGAGTATTCTTAAATTACACTCCACTTGTTTTTCAGTTCATTCAGTAATATTTAAATTAATAATAATAATAGATTGCATGTACAGAAACCCTCAATTAAAGTGAATTTGAAAAGAATTTTCCAAGTCAAATGGTTGATTGATTAACGTTGTTTCATGTGTTTTTTCATTTATTTTCAAGACTGAACTGTCTCAATCACTTCAAGCACTATCGGAAAGAGCTCGTTCAGCTACGGAGCACATACAACGTTTAAGATCAAAGTCAGAAACCGTTAACGTAAGTTACTTTTCAGGCTAAATATAGTTAACATTTCATTATAAGAAATTAGTAATCGGTAATTGAATATATATAATTACATGGATATCAGTGTGTATTACTAATGATGTACACACTGATCTGAAGATATTGTTTGTATAAACATTATCACCAAATTGTTAGACAGTAAAAAAGTTATGCTTTTTTCGATATTTCGAACGTCTTAACACATTTTAATTGATCATATAATTTCACTTTACTTGACGGAAAAAGCCTCCTTTTTAAATTAAAAAGAAGATAGACGGATAAATCACTGAGCAACCCGTATCCAATAAAGCCCATTATCTAAAAAAATATGTTTGTGATTTTCTAAACAAGTTTGAACATCCAGTGTGGCAGCAGCCTCTGCAACAGTAGGTCTAGACATTCACAAAAGAAAAAGCAAGATCCTAAAATATAACACTACGAGTACCAACCAAATCACACTTGATGGATAGGCTCTAGAAGAGGTGGAAACTTTCACGTACCTGGATAACATCATTGATAAACAATGAGGATCTCATGCAGATATGAAGGAATATATTGGCAAAGCAAGGGTAGAATTTCTACAAGTGAAGATATGGTACTCCAAGCAACTATTAGTCAACCAAAATTCAGAATTTCCAACACATACCTCAAGACGATTCTATTGTAGACAACTGAGACTTTGAGATCTATTACAACCATCATCAAAAACTACAGGTATTTATAAACACTTGCCTACACATGATATTCCAGATCCGTTGGCCGGACACCATCAGCATCAATCTATTGTGGTAGAAAACAAACCAGTTTCCAACTGAAGAGTAAATTAAGAAGAGATGGTGGAGATAGATATAACATACATCGCGAAAATCGTCAAAGTGCATCACAAGGCAAACCCTAAATTGAAATCCTTAGGGGGAAAAGAAATGACTCTGGCCGAGAATCGGAGATAGATATTAAAAAAAGAACAACATTTGGCAACAGTTTGATAGGACAACCTAAAACAGAGTTGGTTAGAGAATCCTGGTATGTGGCTATGTTTATCTACGAGAGTTAACTGGAGTAAGTAAGTGAACAAGCTGGGATTACACGGAAAATGGCTGAAGTTTGAACGCAGTTTCCACTATAAACCAACACAACTTCATGAATCATTAAAATATCTAGTAGATTTGGTGATATCGCCTAAAATATTACTCCGTGATGTAACTAAAATTGATAGATAGTAAACAATGAAGTTAACTGTTAGAAAAGCCGTGTACTCTAAACTGGACGATTTGTCATGGGTCTTTCACGGCATTTCTGAAGTAAAATATCAGCACAAACGTTTAGGTGAATAAACCATCTATCATCTACATCACGGACTGATCTTATTTAGGCAACTACTGTATATTAAGGAACATCGGACAGCTGTTTTTTTCTAGTATAGGACTGCTCAGTAGTAAGCACTCATAACCTAAAAGTCAATCTTTAAACCTTAACTTTTCAAACGATCTCCATTTATCGTTTAATTTTATGATTACGTTTAGATTCTTTCTATTTCCTAATTCAACCAACCTAACCCTTGAATTTTCCAGAAAATAAACAATATGTTTTATCGTAGGTATCATTACCAAGTTTTGATTTGATAATTTTGAATAAATTGAGCATTGGGTAGATTGTTATAAATAAATAATTTATTTGTAATATCCCAATGAGTAGAAAAGTTAGATTTTCTGACGTTTCGTGACTTAGTGTAAGCCACTTCTTCAGAGAATAAATAACCAAATTAACAATAATCCAAGTTTAAATAGTACAACGGAACAATTCAAGAATAATTAGGTGATCAATCAAAAACAGGTCTGAATAAATCAGTGTCACGTCATTTCATTGCGGTCAAGGTGATTCATAAGTGACATGTATGTAATTTTTGTTTGTATGTGTCCACTGTAAATGATGAAAAATGTGTGACCTTTGTAATGACAAAGGATAGAGTTAATTTGTAATGTAATGGTGTGAAATTGTAAATAATATTCGACTGGTTGACTAGGATAGATAGTCCAAGTAGGATGTATGGTAAGGCCTTCCTTTCTATTGAGGGCAGTGGGATTAAGCCTTATATGGAAAGCTTCAGCTACTCTTCTTTCTTTGTGATTGGAAAAACCTTTCTGTAGTATTTTGGTGTTTTTGAAATCAATTTGATGATTATTAAAAATGGCATGAACCGCTAATGCCGATTTAATTTGAAGTCTATCTAGTTCTACAGGATTATTAGGTTTCTTTGTGTACCTAATATGTTCTTTGGCGCGAGTCATGATTTCGCGAGATGACTCTCCAATATAGAAGGCATCACAGTCGACACAACCTAATTTGTAGACACAGTTCTGTGTAGACATGAATGGTATCTTTTCTTTTAATCGAACTGTAGTATTTCGAAGAGTGTTCGTTGTTTTGTAATATACTTTAATTCTGTGTTGTTTTAAGATACTTTGGAGTTCTTCAGTTGTGCCATGACGGTATGGTAAAACTGCAGTACCAATCCATGGCATTTCATTCGAATTATTGTTATTATTACCTGCTGAATCGTCTTGTTTTAATATACTTCTGATAATCTTCATAGGAAAATTATTAAATTGTAAGATGCTAATTACATTATTTTGTTCTTTTAGTCTGTCCTATTCTGAAGTGATGATTTTGTTGGCTCTTCTAAAAAGATTTAAGGCTTACGAGATTTTAGCACTGAAAGGATGTGCTGAATGGAAGTCGATGTAATGATTGGAGTGTGTAGGCTTTCGGTAGATGGATACATTTAGAACTCCATTTATATTTCTTTTCACTAAACAATCTAAGAAAGGAAGCTCACCATGTTCATTTTCATTCTTATTCGTAAATTTGATATCAGATGAAAGTGTATTTATCTGTTTCGAAAACGGTCATAGATGAGTCTTTTTTATCACTACAAATGTGTCATCTACATATCTAAGCCAAATTCGTGGTTTAATGTGGTTGGTGAAAATCTTTGATTCTATGTGTGTCATAAAAAGGTCGGCAACAATCGGGGACACAGGGGAACCCATAGCTACACCATTTGTTTGTCTGTATAGCGTTCCGTTGAAAGTGAATAGGGTTGAATTTAAACAAAGTTTTAACGATCTCATGATTAAACTAATGCTTAACGGACATCTGTCCGACAAAGTAGTGTCGTTCTCTAGTGAGCCACTAATAGATTCTAAGCAGTTATCAATCGGAATACTAGTATATAAAGATACGACATCAAAGCTTACCATGACTTCATTCTTCTCGATAATTAATTCCGATAGTTTTGATTTAAAGTCATATGTATCTTTAATCATATTATGTATGTCGAACTGTAGTGGCTTTAATATGCTGCTTAGATATTTAAATAAAGCATAAGTCGGTGTATTGGTAAAGTCTACTATCAGTCTTAGAGGAATATCTGGTTTATGAATTTTCGGTAAACCATAAAACCGTGAAGTATTACATGGTTTGAGATACAGAGCAAACCAAAGCGAAGCCCCAATGACTGGTTTTAGCTCTTTCAAAAGTTCACTTGTATCTGATTTTACTTTATTTTTTATCGTTTGAGAGTTTAATGGATTGATTCTTTCATATGGTCCTGTTGCAAGATGTTCAAGAGCTTTATTAATATAGTCTGTTCTATTCATGACTACTGTTGTGTTGCCTTTGTCTGCTTTTGTGATTATAATCGTTTTGTCCTTTTTAAGCGAATGCAGGGCGTTGTATTCTTCTTTTGAGATGGTTGGTGTGAGGTGTTTTTGTTTAGTCAAGATGTGGGACGTCTTTTGACGTAATAAATGCGATTCTTTTTCTGGTAGTTGTGCGATTATTGTTTGTAAATATGTTTAATTATATGTTTGATCATACATAAAAAGTAGGCTAAATATTTTACTGATAAAACATGAAACTAAACAAGTAATGTCTATCTCTATCAACACATTTTATACAAAACGAGAACTGATGAATTGATGAGATAATGATGACTTGTTGGACAATTATTTATCTAACTTGTCTAATTTAGATAAATATGTATAAAAATAATCCGTGAGTAAATCAGAGCAAAGCATCATAAGTGTATAATGCTTTTAACTAAGCAGCACATATTGACCTAAAAGTCACTCACGTAAAATAGTCGTGATGTAAATACATTTTTTTGGGGGAAAATATTATTTAGTAATATCCATAATTTGACATGTGAATTAGGCTGGTTACGTAAAATACGATTATAAAGTTTCATCATGAGATTTATTGATACTCAACATCAGGAAAAAACTAGGCAGGACAATAAGATGATACTAGCAGACAGATTTTTTAAAATATTTAGATGGACAATGTATTACTGCTGATCAGTGTTAGTGATCCGCAGATGTGTATCATCTTGTTTGTTGCACAGATTGTCTAGATCTCCTAATTCCACTTCAATAATCATGTTGTTCCCAGTGAACTCAAAGGATAAATTTGTCATAATGTACTTGAAAGTACCAAAGAGTTTCGACCGAATCATGGCTTCACACTATAAGACTAATGGACTGTAAATTTTTGACGAGTCAGTTCGGCATGCATTTTAGTTTCGTATAAGTTTGCTTACACCTGGTTTTATCCTTGTGCTATGTATTATGTACTATTTGCCAAAGGTTATCAAAAGCTATAAAATAACTTATCTGAGAATGTAGATTAATCGATTAAAAATCTTATGATAGCAACTGATAAACTATACAATACTAGTTCTCATTTGTATCCAAAGAGCTTGAAAAAAATGCAATTCCTATTAGTTAGATCTGTGTCAATACTTGAGAATGTTGATCATACAGAAAAACATAGTTCAGACATCATTCAAGATTTATCAACCATTAAGATATATATCAACGATAAATATGGATATAAAAAAGACAACAAGAAAAAAATTGATTCAGAAGGTTTCAAGATTAATTAGTAATTCTTAAATTACTTACTTACGCCTGTTACTCCCAATGGAGCATAGGCCGTCGGCCAGCATTCTGTGTTATAAAGAGTGTCGTGACTTAAAAACTCATAAAGTCTGTGTGTCTACAGTGTTGTGTAATTAATATTCGTTTCACCTACTGATTATCAAAGGGTTTTATGAACTAATATATTTACGGGTATGTAAGACTTTTTCATAATTTGTTAGAGGAATTTAATTTAGTTAATGTATTTTTTTGGTTATTTTAATGACTTTTATTCCGAAATTAAAATGCATTAAATATAGACTAAATAAGATTTTTATGTATACAGTATTTATTTTTTACTGTTGGTGAAACGATTTCTTTATAATCTGATATCAGCTTAATAGGCGTTTGATTCTAGTTCGTGACTTCTTAGCTCTGTATACTTGCCACTTCTCAAAGATCTACTACTTACACGAAGAGTGAGTTCTTTATAGACGATTGATTTGAAACCCGATACTTCACATTTCAGTCTGTCAGCACACAAGATAGCATAATAGTTATTTAGTAAGCCTATTGAGTGAAAGTATTACTCCAAATTTCTCACTGGGAATTTAGCATTTCGTCTCAAAGTTAGTTGTTAGTATCCAGATGATCAATATTATAGTGAATATATTTGGATAATTTAATTTTCTCTACCGACTCTAAACCTTCGGAAAATCGTTAAAATAACTGAAGATTTGGTTAACATTTGGATTTCGTAGTTAAGTAAATCAAAAAGTGATAATGTGATGATCACTAAAATGAGTTTCCTAAATTATTGTTTCTTTTTCAAATATCTCCTCATTCTTGAGTGTAAACATACATGAAAGATCATGAAACCCTGTAGTCTAATGAAGATTTACTAAGTTGCATAAAATTGAAACTAAGCAGTTGGAGATATGTGGGTCTTCCTATCTTGTGACTCACTAGTTGACTATCAACTTTACTAACCAATAATACGTAGCTCAGCACAAAAACCTATTCATTGACCCAGTTGACAATCAGTGAAATTTTTGATGAGACGTATTTACTTAACTTTCGGTAATTGTGTTTTATATTTTTGTACAAATTATTTTTTGCAGAGAAATCTTGCAGATTCAGAAAAAGAACTTGTTGAACAACTTAACACATTGATTACTGCAATTGAAACAAAAAAACAAGAACTAACAGAACGTTTACGAGATGAAAGAACTAAACGTATTCATTGTCTTAAGGAACAAATTAATCGTGTCACATCATTGTTAACTAAATCAACTGGTCTTATTCAATTTTGTATTGAAATGCTTAAAGAAAGTGATCCGTCAGCATTTCTTTTGGTAAATTAATTCTTCATAACATATTTATGTTTCTGATTATAATATTATCTCATATTTGGTTAATGTCATCAAAAAACATTACTAAGCAAGTGTTGATGGTGGCTAGCAGTAATATCTAGGACGCGCGTTTCGATCTATTTGGTACTCGTCACCTAGATGTACCTGAACCCCAGTACTAATGTTCGCTTCAAATGCTATCACTTTATCCACTTAGCTACTGATTTCTGATAACCACTAGCTTGTGCGATGTGGTGTAGTTTAAATTCATTTTGTATTGTTTTTTGTATCTCCTCACTGATGTTTAAGATAGCGATTTATCAGTCTCTTATTGGCACATATGCATGCTGTACGGATTGCCTCGATATTACTTTCAGTCACAAGTATGATAAACAAAGGTGGTTGGTGCCTAGCAGTATCAAAGCAACCCGCAAAGGATGCACCTATGCCAATAAGAAACTGACCAGTTGCAGTCCTAAACACCAATGAAAAGATTCAAACAAAAATTACCATATGAATTAAAAAACATTACTGTTTCAATGATGAATAGTATTGAATTAATCACTTTGAGATATCCAAGTTAATAAATTATAGTTCATTGTTGCTGTGAACCTTTGGATTTATATTTTCTCAGAAGAAAACAAACACCAGTTAATGGAAAAAGTAATGGCTAACGGATAGGAAATATTTTGTTATGTTACACTACTCATAAAGTAAGAGTTTATTTTCTCAATATTAAATATGTAAGCCATTAATCTGTATAGGGTTGTGGGGATTGATGAGTTTTGATTGAGATCGTGCCACCGTCGAAAACCTGGAATCACTGGACGGTCGTTTCATCCTAGTATAGGGCCTCTCAACGCGGGCTTTAAACCCAGGACCTTCGGTATCGAGCGTGAACGCTTAACCTCTAGACTATTGAGCTGGCATCAAACAACGTTAGGACATTTATCATATTGTGTTCTGAAATGAATTAACTCATGGTTATAAATGAAACATGAGCTGTGATTTAATATGAGAATTATCGGTTTGAAACTATATGAATTATAAAGACCAAAATTCAAATTCACTTGAAACTATCTCTAAAGTAGCTTTAAACTAGAATGCGCTAGAGTATCAGATACAAATTTAAATTTAGTGAGCATAAAGTATGTTTTTGAGCTTTAAATCAATAGACAAGTACAATAATTTTAATCTGCTTAGTGCCAATAGTTCGGAGGATATTGTTCAAATCTCTATTTAAAAATATTCATCTACCTAAGCTCCATATCATGTTTCTTCTTCAACTAGATACATGAGTAGTTAAAAGGGTACGAGTTATTGGATTATAAATCAGACTTATTCATCTTGAATGTTGTTAGATTAAAATCCTTCCTACTTCATTGAAAGCAATAGACAAAACCTAATAAAGCATAACAACATATGATCACTTATTGTGATATGTCCAGTATTTTCCTAAAAAAGATTATATTCAGTATAATAATCCATTAGGAAGTATAATTATATAAAAATATTTTGTAAATAGTCTCTCACCGTAGGTTTATTGATTTTATTTATTTCACAATGTTCACTGGGGATGTGAAATATTTATACTTACTGAACAATTTTTCAGAAGTTCAGTTGATTTCTCAATGTTAAACAGTTTTTGTTGTATGTACTAATATGTTTGAATATATATTAGTATTTTACATTGATAGAATACATTACTGCTGTCAGTAGGTGGTAATAACACTGTTTATTACAGATCATATGCCTGTTACAGGTCGAATACGATATTGATAATACTTCTAACACTTTCAAAAATGACATTCCAAAATAACTTTAATTCACATTGAACATTAATTATCAGTGTTCCCAATAAATATCCACTGTCTTAGATTAGTCATATTGATTAAATTTCACACAGGAGATTCATAAAAGAAAATCAAACACTCAATCATCTATTAAATTCTTTAAGTACATAGTTATTTTAATTCAAATACTTTTACATTTTTAGGTATCTCAATCCCTTATTACACGAACTCAAAGTGCAGAACAAAATTTTATACAAGAACTTCAACATACTTCATTTACTAATGATATTACTGGATCGTTATTATCACTTGCTTTATCATCAAGTAAAGATTATTCACATCATTCACCTAAGAAAAAAACACTTAAATCAAATGAAGAGATTTCTGGTAAATACAACAATGCTTCTGGTAATGCTGGTGGAACAAGCACATCTAATCGATTAAACAAGACATTAGATCTATTAGGTGTGAATAGTGTTGATGGAATACTTCGAGCAATTTTAAATTTAGGCTTAGAAGAAGATCAAAGTAAGTAATAAAGTTTTATTAAAGAGATATCTTTTCTTATACATTAACTTATATATTTTAGAAACTTGAAAATAGTTTATCTAACAAGTAGTGGATATTTTGAATCACTGACACTGACTAAAAATATACTTTGCATTATATGATCTCTAAAATGTTAGTATCATAATTTATTCATCAACAAGTAAGAAAGCAATGATCAGTTTCTGATGTTAAGTGCTTGGTAACATAAATGGTTACCTATGCTAGACTTAATGATCTAAAAACAATCGACCAAGTGAACTATTAAAGAAAGCCGTTTTTTTTCGAGACGCATACAAAGTTAAAGTTATCTCCTACAAAGAAAAATTGATTTATCAGTCTCAAATAAAATAAACTAGACGGAATAGTAGTGCTTAACAACAACAGAAAAAACAAATACAATTTAACTAGGATGTAATTCAAAATAACTGACTTAGAAATTTAGGGACACAGTAAAAAGATTGACAAATAAATAATTCAACTCAAGAAAAGAAAGGATGTAAAACTTAAAGAATGTTATATCACATATTCTATAAATTATCTCATTAATAATTGATTACCATTAGGATAAGTTAATTTACTTTAAATTATGAAATTACTGATATCATTTACATGGGTAATAATAGAAAAAAAACAGTCATAGTTTCAATCATAGAACAGTTTGAAATCCATATCTCAATGAATATAATCTGTTCTGAAATTGTAAATAAACTAGCAATCTAAGTGAACATATCACTTTTTAAACTTAAGAATAATGAATAAAAGTTATTTAATTACGGTGAAATTTTCATTGCATAGAAACCATTACTTCTTACTGACAACGAGCTTGCAGTCATCTTTGTACTATTAATTCCAAATAGAGAACAATTATGAGAAAGGGGTTTTGTGGAGATTTTAGTAATTTTATATATGGAGAAGCAGTAACCAGTGGAGTTAAACCAAATCTGTTGTAAGATATCAACTTGCTGAATAGTCGCTACATTTCGTGGATTGGTTGGAGTTAGACATTAACAATATTGGATACCGGCTCAGTGATCTAGTTGTTATGAGCTCGCGTGCGAGACTGATAGGTCCTGAGTTCGAATCTCGCGGGGCGGGATCGTGGACGCGCACTGCTGAAGAGTCTCACAATAGGACGAAACGGCCTTCCAGTGTTTCCAGGTTTTTCATGGTGGTCTAGCTTCAATTGACTCATGATTTCAACGATATAAAGAATAATTCTTATGTATCACTTAAAGTTTAGTTATACCGCTTCAAAAATGATTTAATATAATAAAATCCATTTCATTATTGTAGTAAATTTTAAAAGTGATCATCAAGTTACGTATAGAACAGAAGCAAGAAATTCTAATCATTTATTGTTATGAGAAAAACATAGTGATATCAATAGGTAGTTTAAGAACTGATAGATTGATGATAAACCAGTGTGAACAATTCTTTTATGCGATTAAAAAACGTCTGAAAGATCTGGATCATTAAAATTATTGTTATATTTGATAGTTATAATTGTTTGTTGATTTAATGAATGACTGTTGTAAAAGTTTTCAAAGTTAATTATATTAATGCTTCCACAATTGTATCACTTAATGTTACAATAAATAAAGTGTAAGTTAAATGTTTAGCTTCGTATTGTATGTGGCAAGAATTTTATAAATGAGCTCACTCAAAGGTGCATGACTGAATTTTTCAACGATTTTTATCAATAAGACCATGCAAAGATGGGTAGTGGCTAGAAGTGGATGGAATCGAGGACGCGCGTTTCGTCCTATTTGGGACTCGCCAGCTGGATGTACATGCATCTCAGAGTTGGTAATCACTCTGGGACTCAAACTCAGTACCTTTCGCTTCAAACGCCATCGCGTTATCTACTCAGCTACTGAGTCCTGATAGCCAACTGCTTGTGCAATGGGGTGAAGTTTAAATTCACTGATTATTGTTTGTTTGAATCTCTCATTGATGTTTAGAACTTCAACTGGTCAGTCTCATATTGGCATATAGTCATACTGTGCGTATTGCCTCGATATCGCCTTAATTCGCAAGCAGTATAAGCAAAGATGGATAGTGGCTAGCAGTGGAACCCAAGACGCCCGTTTCGTCCTATATGTATTTTATATGTATTGTTTATGAATTAAACCGAGAAAAAGACTTTTTAAAAAGTTTTCAATTCTACATCCATAAAGAAAAATTTATTGTTTTTCGTTTATACTCATGCTTGTTTCACATAAAAGAAAATGGAAACGTTTCACTCGTTAAACGCAAAGTTATATCAAACTATCCTGGTTACAAACAATAGATAAAAAAGAATGAAAGAATGAAGAATTACAGATATATGTGTATACATATATATATTGTCTCTTATGTAATAAGAAATAACATATAACTCAATTATGAACGTACGCTTCATAAGATGTCTGTCAGAAGTAAAAGATCTTTCTTATGTATATTCAATCTCCATAAGATTCTATCTACATATCCAGCTATATATATATATATATATATATATATATATATATATATATAAAGTTAGCTAATTGCAATTACATATACTCACTAATGTACATGTTTATTGATTAAACTGGTTTTCAGTCTAACTTGTATCCTTATTATTCATAGCATAGAGAATAAATCAACTATTACTTCTATTCCAAACCTGTCCAATGAAAATGTTGATATATATATATATATAATATTAGATTTGTATAATATATTTTTATAGAATATAAAACATAAAACGCAAGTGCTGAAATAGAACAGAATTACCAACCGAATGTTAACTAGTCTGTTATTAACTACTTCTAAACTTGTTTTTTACTCAAGGTTATTGTTTCTGTTATTGTTGTTGGTCGCCTTCCTCTTCCTCATCTACAATCCCTTTTTCTCCTTTACAGTTAGTTAATTTATTCCCTCATCACGTAGAGTAAAGTAGTAGGACGTGGTTAACAATATTTCTACTTTTCATCATGTTCATTTTTCTAGATTAAAATAATAATTTCTTTATTTTAAGAATTATAACTTGTTTCTCATTATATATAATACTCTACTACTTACAAATGCATGTATGTTATTGCTGATGATAGACTAATGGTATTATTTTACTGAAATATAAATAAATAGACAGGTCAATAAAATAAATTACTCAATTGATAAACTCAAAGAAATAATAAGAAAACTGCTAATACAGATACTTAAGTTTTAATTCTTACAAAAAAGATTTTGTATATATTTGATAACTGATTATGTGTATACATAAATTAAGAGTTTTGTAAGTAATTATGAGAGTTTAAACAAATTTGTTCACATTGACTGATCATTGAGTAGTAGCCAGTGCCAGTTAACAACCAGAATAAATATTTTAGTCTTGAGGAATGTCAGTCATTGCCTAAATAGTTCAACGATAACATATGTGTGTGGAATTGCGCAATACGTGCTCGAATCTTATATGAACCATTGGCTTCTCTTAAGATTTCAGGTAGATTCTGTAGACGATTGCAGTTATAGCTTTCTGTTAAATGAATATATCCATGTAACATTGAAATGTTAACGTTTTTAAAAAGAATTCATTTTTTATTAGTTGGTTAGTATTAAGTAGTAATAATATATTTGTAAAATCTCAGCGAATGAATTTGAAGTAAATCGCCTGGGAATCTGGTCCAAGTTTTTCAAGGAAGTAATATTTCTTTCATCAACTCGGCGCCCAAATACTGTGAAACTATTCGCTCTAATTTAGACGAAAGTTCTTATATATCAAATCAAATATACTAACTCCTCTCAGTTAACATTGTCACACTACGAGTTAACCAACTTCTAATCTTTTAATAAAATATGAACAACACTTTAACATTTAATGAGATTTCTAGATTGTCACCTGAATGAGTAAACAACTTGTTGTCTAAGCCAAATAATAGATACCTTTCAGCGTGAACAAGAAAGCCCACTAATAAGACTATATAGATTTGTAACAGTCGTGGACAGATTTAGAAAATAAAGTGCATATCATGATCTATGAAATTATAAGAATGTTTGACAATCACGAAAATAAATGGGATTATAGGTAAACAAATAATGTGACATTACATCCTTTTCATTGCATCATTCGTTAGTTCAACTTTTTCTGAAGTTTGATTACATCATTGTCGTTTCTTCAATTCATAACTGACTGATCTCAATTCATATTTTTCTTCATTACCAGTATTCTGTTTTTAGTTGCTTCACTACAAAATGATCTAATGTTTGTTAACTCCACTAGTTCTAATCACTATTTCAATGTTCTGCAACTTTCCCTAACAAACTTTATTTATTCGAAATAAAAATTTTTATGACCTAATTAGCTTTATTGAATTCTTCGCTACATCATGATACATATATTCATCTTCAATCACCCTAACATGTATAAGTATATCAATATCTGTAATAACGTTGATTTTAAGATATGATAGGTTGTTAAGCAGGTAATGAGCCCAAAGAAATAAAGTGAATTCATATTATTCTGCACCAATCATCGTTCTTGCTCTCTTTAAGATAATAAAGAGGGATTAGGTGTATGAAACAGTAAAAAAGGTGTTGTACTTTAATAAACCATCATTTAAATAGATAAAAGTTAGTCCCCTCTAAATTTTAGTTATGTTTTTTTCTCAATATATCTTACAACTTAAAAAAGCAGATTCAATACCCACAGCAAAAATACTTTAAAATGATCAACTTATCAGACTATTTCAATCATCCGATGATTGATACATGTATCATTATTTTTGTATTGACATATTTAGTCACTATTGTCATTAAAAATGGATACATTGAAGTGGTTAAATATTTTACATTATTGATCTATATGTTTTGTTTGAATTAGATAACATGTTACAATTACATTAATCGAATGGTTAAACTGTATAGCATATCATTTTAAACTTGTAAATTATAAGAAGGATCTATATTACTTACGTAATCATTGTTGATGGATTATTAAAGAATTATTTTTTTCAAAC